AGTACTTTAAAGTGTATAAATAAGTTACCCGGGCAATTGATCTACATCAGCCAATCAGACGAACTTCCTCCTATGAGTGCAGGTCCCTAATCTGCGTGACATCTCGACTGACTGATATGTAGGATCACATCATATCGATATTACACAAACGCGAATAAATTTAATTCACTTTTTTCATATCTTAATAAAAAACATGTCAGATACATCAGAAATTCCACCAAAAATCAAATTAATACTTCGCCATGATTGGTCATCGCTTAATTCAAAACTTCCAAAATTACTTGAAATTTTAACAAAAGAACTTGGTTCTTCAGAATGTTGGCACAAAAAATCAACATTCTTTGATCATTTGCTTCATGTTTATCAAATTTTAACAATTTGGAATCAACCTCAATATTTAATAGATTGTGGTTTATTCCATTCTGCTTATTCAAATTCATACGTGAATTTAGCAATCTTCAAATTAAATAATGATGAACGTAAAAGACTTCGATCATTAATAGGTGAAGAAGCTGAAAACCTTGCACATTTATTTTGTATTATTCCAAGACATGATTTAATCTATAACAAAATCTTTGGTCAATTAAAATCCAAGGAAATTGATGATGATGAAAAATTAAAAATCGTTATACCAGATGAAGGAATTGTAGTTCGAAATATCAATAATGATGAACCAATACTTTTAGACAAATTTACTATAGCAATTTTTTTAATTTTTACAATGGCAGATTTTTCTGATCAATTATTTAGCTGGCAAGATGAATTGTTTGAAAATTATGACGGTCAATTATTATATCAAACTTCAAATGAATTTAATTTTTCATTATGGCCTGGTGATTGTAAACCTGGTCTTTGGTTGGCTGGCTTATCTAGAATAGGCAAAATAGTAAGATGGTGCCTCAAAGATTTCAAACCTGAATTGATTCCTCCGGTGTTTGATAACTGCACGGTTGAGCTTGATCCTTCGGATTTGATTAAATCAAGAGATTTGTATTGGGATATTGTTACGAATCATCATAACTTATATAACGTCGAAGCTATACCAGAAATAGAGAGGAAATTGAAAGAATGTATTAAGCTTAACCCCTTTGTTGGAGAACCTCATGTGTTACTAGCGCAAATTTATATGAGGTTGGAGAAATACGAAGAGGCAGAGCAAGAAGGATTAAAAGCTTTAAAAAATTTTTTCGATTGGGGAACTTGTTGGGATAAGAGAATGAATTGGGATGTTTGGATAGCTTACATTAGAGTTATTATCGAATGTGCCAGAAAAAAAGAATGGATTAAAGGCGCATTTGGTGCAGTAAAGCTAGGATTGGTGTCCGGTCTTTGAAATTTTTTTAATTTTTTTTTTTATTGATAAAATATTTTATTATGCAAATTGAAGGGTTTTTTTTCACTTTTGAAAAGGAAACAATTGTTTAAATTGATCGGATTGTCTAATGCTACTATATTATACATTAAGATCTATGAAATTAATAAATACATGGCTTTGTAGTTTGAAATTTGAACGATAAGGGTTTACTTTACTTAAAAAGGTTGATACAAAGTATTGGTTGTTATATCCTATCCCATTTATGCTCACGATTCTTAAGATACTCATTTTCTTTTCTTTTTTGATCCTCTCGCGATTTTTCGTACTCTATGGATTGTTCGTTTGTTTCTGCCAATTCTTGGGATGTTGGGAAGCCAACTCTCCAGAAGCCAGGAGGAGTAGGTGCTCGACTATACTTTGTACGATGTTTAGAAGTATAATGTAATCGAGCTTCCATTAGTAACTCTGCGCTCTGTACTTGATTTGTATGGCCACAACGATTTAATCCAGTAGCATCGGGAATTGGCATTGGACCTGTTATTTCATAATACTGAAATCAAATATTAATGATAAGAAAAGATAGTATCGCGGAAAAATATATGTGTGATAATCAAACATGATTACTTACTCGACGACAATCACGGCAATCTTCACCCTGTAACTGCCGACGCTCACTCTGTTTTCGTACAGTTTCATTAAACCTAATGTTAGTTTCTGATAAATTAGGACTGACAGTGGAACGATGCGACGTATTTTTATTTCTAATGTTATGTGGAGTAATTGGGGTAAGTAGCATAGGACTTTCTTCGCCATCATTACTGATTCTTTCCGAAGCAACCGGTTTATTATCATCCATGAGAGGATCACGGTAGTCTTGATGTGGAGTATTAACTATATCATTGTCCAATGAGTACCGATCTTTTCCACTAGGTAAAAGTTTCCATCGTTTATGTTGATTATTTTCCAATGGTGGAAGTGTATTAGAGTCGTCCTGTTCTTGTTTGATGACCACATCTGCGGATCTTTTTTTACTCGAAGATTGATCATCATCGTCAGCAAGAAATAAATTATCGTCGTAATCATCAATATCAATTGGATGTTCGGCGTTTGTACCATCAAGCGGACCAAAGTCAACATCCTTTTGTCGCTTTAGAATTTCGGCATTATCATGATCAAGATTTGTTTGATCTGTCACGCTTGAACTGCTTTCACAAGATAAAGCTTTGTCCGATATTTTTTGATTATTATTCCATAATTCAGTGGAATCTTGAATATATTGATGATCAGATTGAGATTTTTCACCTAAAGAGTTTAACGATAGGTTTGAAGACAATATGTCAGATTGATATTGATTGTCACTATCATGAAAACTATTGCCACAATCTCTTTTATTATCAGGGGCTTGTGTTGAGGCGCTATCGATGCTTATGATGGAAACATTATTGACGTGAGTATGTGGCATATGATTTTGGACGTTTGTAACATCAGTGAGAGTACCACTTGATTTATCGTCAGAAGTAGTAGGTGAATTATTATCCTGTTGACAAGCACATCGAGCCCGCGATTCAGCATTCGCTGCAGTTGCGCCATCTGATTTCCCTTTTCGGGCTCGTGAAAGTCTTTTGGCGTTTTCAATCCATTGTTTTGTAAGCTTCCATTCAGAGGATCTTTGCTTGTAATGGTCTTTTAAATCTTGATAATCTTTTGATTGTTGATCATATTTTTTTTGGAGTTCAGAATATTTTTCACTCCACTCTTTATTCGAATTTTCAAGTTCTTTTTGATGTTTTCTAAAAATATCACGTGAATAAGATTGTTTAAACATTATAAATACTGTTGTAACACGCATACAAAATACAAAATAATAATAATAATGAATACTTTTCCAATTCTTGGATAATTTGGGAGTTGTTGTTATTACTCGCCGAGGAAGAAGATTGTTCATTAGCACATGTATTGACATCTGTTAATGCAGGGGCGGGTGAACTATATCTTAAAAAAAAGAAAAAAAAGAGTAATTTATTAAATAATTTAAAATTAATTATCTGTTGTATTTTTGAAATTAAATATTTAATGAAATTTTTAATAATATAATTAATTTTTTTATGAATTTATATATCTTACTCATCACGATTTTCCTTTTCAACTTCCATAGCGTCAGGTTTTTTTATGTCAATATCCATATCCTCGGAGAAAATATCATCGCCATTATCTATGTTTCGCAACGAATTTTTTTTTTTCAGAGACCATAATTGATTTTCTAAATGTTCGATACGTTGTCTAAGAGCGGAATTTTCTTGTTGTATGACTTTGTTAGCTTTAGCTTGATCGGATATGGCTTTGAAAAAATAATAATGATTACCGTCAAATTTGGTAAATGTAAATATTTTGGGTGGTGAAGTCTTTAACAAACCTTCTAATGCCTGAGCTTGACAACCGAGAATGTTTTGCACCAAAGAAGCAGGTAGATAAGAGGATGAACTAGAAGTGAATGGAGTTGACCTTTCACGACTATCCCTATGACCTATCTCTATAGACGCGTATGAGCTTTGCATTGCGCGAAATAATAATTTTTCTATAAAAATAACAGTCTTTGGATAGAAAGAATAGAAAGAAGATATATTTACGAACAGGTTTAAAGTGAATAAATAAAGTGATTAAGGTTTCTAATGCTAACGCTTAGATATATAATGCAGATTAAATAATCAGCAAGACATTGACTCACCTTATAAATAGCAAAAGAAAAAGATTTGCGTCTTTTCAGTTGAAATAACGGAGTATGAAATTAATCACTACATTTGAAATTTGTCAAATGACGGTAGGTACGCCATTTGTCCATCTTGTTGACCATTTGTTTTGAAATACTGTATTTTTCATACCATAACGATAATCTTTACGATTAGCAATTTTGCCCCATTTGTCGTTCGGACCTTTGTATTTCCGTCATGAAACTATTGTACCCAAAGGCTGAGTCAGTATTTGCCAATTTAATGTGTGCTGTACTCAAAGGCTGAGTCAATATTTTGCCTATTTAATGTGTGCTAAAAAAAACACCGTCAGACAATTGCCCCTATGTGTTGCATTATTTGCATTATCGGTATGGTTTCGGTATGATATCTATACAATTGCTTTTTTGTGATTCTTTGACAGATCGCCACGAAGCATGATTGTTATTTTTTTTTGGTAACTTGGTTAAAAAAACGATTATACTAAATATCATATAGTATCTGGTATGTACTGTACGTTCGTACGTACATATATACATACCCATACACTACTTTTCCATCTAAAATCACCGGTATTACGACCAAATTCGACCAAAATTGTTTTTTTTTTAATTCTAGTCCTGTAAAAATTTCTCCCAAATATTTCCGTTATTTCTCCATATTTTTTGTGAATCTGCAAAATCTAGACAAGCCGAATAATCTCCATGATTTAAGATTATAAAATTCCATGAATATGGACAAAACACGGAATATAAAACACGGATCGACTTTTTTCATAGGGTAGATGTTCATAGAATGAAAATAAAAAAAGTTTTATCGAATCTGACTTTGTTATTTTCATGTATCGCTAGCGCTATTTTAGATGCTAGACATAGCTGGACACTCTTCCAGTTTTTTTTGTCTATCGCTATTGTGTGATTATAAGTGATCAAGATAAAGATCGAGACACAAACTTTTAAAATTTTTGATTCATAAAACCTTGCAATTTTGTATGCTAAATATGCTAAATTACATAATAATAACGTGGTGGAAAGAACACTCCTATCAATGAAATTAATTAACCAATCGTTATTTTTTAACCATACCGATACTGCGCTTAAGGTACTGTACATACATTTACATACCTGATACACTGATTGTACGTACTGCAGTACTGCATCTATTTATCTCTGATCTATTATCTGTTATGTATTAAGTTTTCTGTTCATGAGGAACACTACAAATGGCGTAATTTTCATCTACGTATTAAACCATTAATTATTTATCCTGTGCTGCAATTATTTTATCCGATTGTGTAATAATGACGAAAATAGCAAACCGCAGTCGAAAAAGCGACAACGCAGCACTAGAGATGCAAATCGGCTCGATCGGCTTGTATATTCAGTATAATAAAAACCGATTAATCAATAGGGCCGATCAGCCGTTTTGCACCACTACGCAGCTACTACGCAGCACACCTTAATTTCCGATAGAGTTACATGCCAACTGCGGTCGATCGAATTTTCTTCTTGGCAATTCGTTCGGCCGGTAATATGATGATAATAATGATCTGTAACGCTTGTTAACGAGATAAAAAAAAAAAAAAAAAAAAACTATAAAAGATAGAATTTGAAGTCTCTTTAACCATTATCCACTTTTTTTTCAAAACCATCGAAAAGAAAGATAAAATTTTTTTCTACTTTTGTAATTTAATAAAAATCCAAAAATCCTTACACGTATCTATACTCGTATATATTCTTTTAATTTCAATCAAAAATCATGACTGATTTCACTGCAATTTTTCAACCTTTTTTGGACCTGTTTAATCAAGGACAAGTACAAGCTATTCTATTGGCATGGCTTCCAACAAAGATAGGACCCTATCTATCTGGAATAATGGCAGTAGATATGTTTGTAACCACAGTCATAGCTTCGGGATTTACTGTATTGTGTGCAGCACTATATGCTATTTCACAATCATTAATTACAGGTAATGGCTGGAATAGAAATCTAGTAACAGTACAAATCGAGTATTATGTCACTGGTAAGTAAAGAAAGAATATATATGTATATACATTTTTATCGTAAAATATTTGATATTGATTTACAAATTTCATCTTGTAGGTACATATGGAGATCAATATACCAGCACATTTTACGAAGCTTTGTCATGGCTCATTTCCAAACAAACAAAAAAGTTGGATAAAGGTTCATTCATCGTTCAACCTACCAATGATTTGATTTCTCAAGAAGATGAGGATGATGAATGTGCACCACCTTCTTTTAACATCCTTCCTGAAAAGAATCAACAAATTAGTATTGAATATAATAAACGCAAATTTAATGTTACATATTGTATTCCAGAAGGGGAGAATACTGAAAATTCTAACAACAACAACAATAGTTATGCTTCTGCTTCACCAAAGTCAATGCCTTCAATTTATTTAACAACAGTTGAAGATTCAAAAACTAGTGTAGATTCGATTTCCGAATTTATTAATGAAGTGACACGTTCATACCTTGAAGCACAAAAAAGGGATAAAATACGTGCAAGATACGAACGTACTGACGGATATTGGTATAGAGTACAAAGTTTATCATCGATTAGAGGATTGGAAACGGTAGCTTTAGATGAAAAACAAGAACAATTATTGAAAAAGGAATTGGATACATTTGTTAGTGATAAAGAATTCTATGGAAGGATTGGTATGCCTTATAGACGTGGATTTCTTTTCTTTGGAAAACCAGGGACGGGAAAAACCAGTTTGATAAACGCGATATCTTCACAATTATCACGTGACCTTTATTATATTAATCTTAAAAATATAACAAGTGATAATGAAATGAGTGCAGCATTTAGTTCAGTACCATCTAACCAAATAATCGTCCTCGAAGATGTTGATGCACAATCAAAAATTCTTCACAAAAGACGAAGTGGTGATGATGATAAATATTCCAAAGGAATTTCGTCCGACGACAATAAAGGCGGTAAAGGAACCGGATCAGGATTTTCTATGATTAGTTTATCAAATTTCCTTGGATGTTTAGATGGTCATATATTATCTGAAGGTAATATAATAATTATGACCACAAACCATGTTGAACATCTAGATCCTGCTTGGTTAGTATACATATCAATATAATTAACATAACGATAACAATAATTATTTCATATTTAATTAACATTTAATCATTTTTTCAAAATTTTAAATTATAGCATTCGCCCTGGTCGTATGGATGTACATTTGAATCTCGAATATTGCACACATTATCAAATAAGAAAAATGTATCGCAGTATCGTTGAAAATCAAAAGGCAGAATTTCCTGAGGATGTTTTACAAAAAATTCCAGAACATTTATTACCTCCCTGTGAAGTTATGATGACTATGGTTTTGTACAGAAATGATATCGATCTTATCCCTGAAAAAGTTTTAGGGTTGGTTGAGAAATATAGAGATATGAACCCTGAAGACATTGCAAAACAGATGGAAGAAGAAGCACGCCGAATTGAAGCTGCTTCTAAAATAGTCGAAAATGAGGCAACTAAATCTGAAGAAACTAAGTCCGAAGAAACTAAGTCCGAAGAAACTAAATCTGAAGAAACTAAGTCCGAAGAAACTAAATCTGAAGAAACTAAATCTGAAGAAACTAAATCTGGTGAGACTAAAGCAGATGGGGTTAAATCCGAAGAAACTAAAACTGAGGGTGTTAAATCTGAAGAAATTAAAACTGAAGGAATTAAGTCTGAAGAAACAAAATCTGAAGCAACCAAAATCGATGAAGTTAAATCTGAGGAAACAAAGATTAAGAAAACTTTAAAAGTTGAAAATGCTGAAAGTAAATTGAGTTCAGTTAGTATGACAAGAAGTTCTAGTAACCGTAGTGAAACAACTTGTATAAACGACGAAGAAAATGGTGGCAGCGGTAATACCACCGATGTTGAGGTAGATGATATTCAAACAACTAAGAATATAAAACTTGAACCAATAATAACAAAAGACACAACTTCACAAATTCAAATATAATCTTATGTACAGTAAATAACAAGACTTTTTAAGCTTTTAATTGCCTGTAAAAAAAAAATTTTTTTTTTAATATAAATATCGAATTTATATTTTCCAGTATTAAAATTAATATAAATCTCGAATTTATATTTTCCAGTAAATAAAATAAATGAAATCTATATATACACAGTGACAAATAAGGTTTTATTATATGTTTATATATTACAGTCAATAAATATTTCGAAAGTTCAATCGCAACCTAAAATGTTTAAAAAATTTGAGTTACATACTCTTAAAAGGAAAGTAAACTCGCTAGTTTTTTGTCTAACAAATTTGTTGCACGTTTTTAGTTGATTAATCTTAAGTTACACGAGGTAACACGCAATATGAGTATATTCTCAGGAACAATATAAATAGGATTTTCATCAATCCACTTCTGACCTGATTGCGACACGTCTCCTAAATTTTTTCCATTAAAAATAATTTTTTTTCTTTTCAAATTTACTTCTCAAAAAAAACAAAATAAGAAAATATGTTTGAAGCACGTTTAACCCAAGGGGCCTTGCTTAAAAGGTTACTTGACTCAATCAAGGAGCTCGTAACCGACGCGAACTTTGACTGTAGTGAAACAGGTATCTCTCTACAGGCTATGGATAACTCTCATGTCGCGTTGGTATCGTTATCGCTTCGTTCTGAAGGTTTTAATCCGTATCGCTGTGACCGAGGTTTCTCTTTGGGCGTAAATCTAAACTCTTTAAATAAAATAATGAAATGTGCTGGAAATGAAGATATGATTACGCTTAAAGCTGATGATAGTTCGGCAGATAGCTTGTGTTTAGTGTTTGAAGGTTCAGGTAAGCTTATAATTTAATAAATTATGAAATTCGGAATTTATGAATTAATTGTGCTATATCGAATTTATAATTAAAGCTAACGAGAGAGTCAGTGAATATGAATTGAAATTAATGGATATTGATCAAGAGCACCTCAGTATTCCTGAAACAGATTATGATGCTACCGTCATGATGCCTTCGGCTGAATTCCAAAGAATTTGTCGGGATTTGATGGTTATTAGTGAATCAGGTATTATAACTTCTATATTCACGCGTTGTCATCGTCTAATATTGATTTATTCAATTTAATTAATCATTTAATCAATCATTTAATCAATCATTTAATCAATCATCTCAGTGACTATTGACGTTTCAAAAGATGAGTTAAGATTTACTGCGGAAGGTGAATTAGGAACCGGAAATGTAAAATTGAAACCGACTTCTACTATTGACAAGGTTAGTTTGTACATATGATTTTTTTTATTCTTTTCTTGTTTCGTTCATATTCTTGTATTCTCAACTTTATTTCTTAAATACTTATCTTTAGCCTGAGGAATCCATTACAATCGAATTAGGTCAAACTGTTACTCTTCAATTCTCCCTTAAATACCTAACGAATTTCACGAGAGGCACCCCTTTGTCTGACCAAGTCATGCTTTGTTTATCTGATAACATGCCATTACTCGTAGAATATAAGATGGACATCGGTTATATTCGATATTATCTTGCTCCTAAAGTTGGCGATGAATAAAAAGTAGGAATGGTAAAATTAGTTTAGGTTTAAAACCTGGTTCTCAATCTTTTGTAAGACAAAAAATAAAAATATATTAATAAAAAGTTAATTTGTATCAAGCTATTTTAGAAATATATTTTGATTTACTAATTAATTTTACCTAATATGCTAATATTGATTGATTGAATAAAATTTTGACTTTATATGGTAAAAAGGAGTAATATAGCGGAGCGGATAAAGTGGCAGATCACATACCGAAGTTAACGCGGGGTTTATTAAATAGAGTTTAATGACACTATTATACAACATTCGTTTCTAATTACCAATAATCATATAAATGATCTTTTATTCATATAAAGCGAGTAGATACTTCAATCTGTTGATTCACCACTTTACCTTCCAAATGTTAAGTTATTTGGTGTTATGCAGACACAAGTTAACTTGCTTTTTTTCCTATATTCTTTAAACCATCAACAAAGTGGCAAATTTACAGTATAGTACTGCGTACAGTATCATCTAAAGATAATATTCTCCATGATTAAGATCCGGTTATTTACCACCCACTTGGTTTAATTTTTTGAATAATACTATATTTAATTTATTACTTTTATATATAAGACCTGGTTTTTCACATAATAACCGCGGATATTTTCAATTTTAAAAAGAGTTTTTGAATGAGATTCTGGATACTGCATGCAATGCTACATAGTAATTATTAAAACATTAAAATTTTTATAATTAAAGGTTTAAATTAAAGTACTAAACAATATTTCAGTTAGGGCAGTTCATTTATTACCTGATTTTTTTTTTATTGGAAGCTTACTCCCCTTTCCTCTCTTAATATATATCTTGATGAGATCTTTATATATAATTTTAAATTTTTTATTCTCTCCTTTTCCTCTAAAAAATTATTTAATTTTGTTATATCTCTTAATGTACCAAATAATATTCTAGTTAATGTATCTGTTAATGTCCCAGTTAATGTTTCTAATATTATACTAAATTAATACTATATGTCAAAAATTTTATTAATAAATTAGAACTAAAAAATATATATATAATAAATGTAAGAAAAGTTATATTCATAACACCATGTTATATAACACTTTTTGCAATATTTTAAAAATATACTAAGTAAATGGGTGTAGATACTTAAGTAAAAATAATCAGCACCTCTGAAAACTTTATAAAAAATGAAATTAGAATCTATTAGAATTTTATATCTAATATATATTGTATAATAAAAATCCCTATATATCTTAAAATTGGATTCTAACCCTAAATAAGATATATAGAGTGTTATAATAACACAGTGTTATGAATATAATATTTTTAAATATAAATTATATTAATAAAAGGATTATATAATTTAGTGCACCTGTGTTGTAATGCACCTATCTAATCGACCAATCAGAATATAAGATCAGTATAATGTGAAATCGAAAAAATAGCGATGCTTTAAAAAAAATTACTTGTAACTCATAAGTTTGCTTATGAAACCACCTTTTGTATTCTAACAAAAAAAATTTTTTGCAGTATTTGATATAATTATAATCCAATCTAACTCTAAATTAATACTAACTCTTACTCTAAATTAATGCATTGTTAGTTTGTTTTGATTTTATATTACATTAGATCTTATAAGATGTGTTATTATACAGGTATGCCAAATGATAAATTTTTAATAAAATATATCTTTTAAATTGTAATACAAGCAAATTTATTTGTATTTTTTTTAACTTTATTTTTTTAATAAAATCTTAAATATTAATTTTAGCAATATACTTCTTAATTAAAAAAATTTTAAAAATCTACTTTATTAACTTTATTAAGAAAATTTTTTAAAATTATTAAAAAACTTTTGATTAATTAAAATTCAAATTTTGTGTAATATTAGAATTTAGTATTAAAAATTTTTTTGTTTTTTAAAATTTTATATATTTCTGAAGCTAGAAAAAATTTTTGCTCTTAAGACAAGTATTAATTTTTACAAGTAAATTACA